CACAACATACTATCTTTGTAAAGCCTTGTACCATGCTTTGGTAGCTAAAAATTCATTCTACTATTTGATCTACACAAGAATACTGCATGGTCAGGTGAGCAGACCTCTTCATCCTCATTTTACAGATGAGGAAACTGGGATACAAAGACGCTGACCAATTTGCTCAAAAGCCGGTATCTAACTAGCTGCAGTGTCTGAACCACAACTCAAAGTTCTTTATTCAGATCAAAGTTCACTTCCTACTGCCCCATAGTGACTCTACCTGGTATCATTTTTTCTTGATTACATTAAGAAAAATGAGATGCATTAGTTCCTAGAAGTAGCAAAGCACTACTTACCTCCTGGAAATTTAAATGACTGAACAAGTTGTGGTATATGATTGCGATAGAAAACTGCTGTGCTGTAAGAAATGATGAGCTAGATGGTCCTAGAAAAACCTGGATAGAACTGCTGGAAATGATGAGGAGTGAAATGAGCAGAACCAAGAGAATGTTGCATACAGTAACAACACTGTTGTTTCTTTTTTTTCCCTAAAGATTGATTTTTATTATATTTGTGAAAACTGAACAAGTGGTTAAAAAATAAGGATTTTAATGAATTGGTTTAAAATTATATTGGTCAGTGATTAATTACTTTTTTCTTGTTTTTTTAATTAATTTATTTTTAGTTTTCAACATTTACTTCCACAAGATTTTGAGTTCCAAATTTTCACCCCGTCTTGCCCCTCCCCCACCCCAAGGTGGCATGCATTCTAAATACTCTTTCCCGTAGTCTACTTTCCCTTCTATCTCTCCCCCGCTTCTCTCATCCTCTTCCCCTTCAATTTTCCTGTAGGGCAGGATAGATTTCTATACCCCATTTCCTGTATATCTTATTTCCCAGTTGCATGTGAAAACAATTTTTTTTAACTTTTGTTTTTAAAATTTTGGGTTCCAAATTTTCTCCCTTCCTTCTTCCTCGCCCACCCTCATTGAGAAGGCAAGCAACTAGATACAGGTTATGCATGTGTAGTCATGCAAAACACTTTCATAGTAGTCATGTTGTGAAAAGCTAAGTATATTTCCCTTCATCCTATCCTGTCCCACATTTATTCTATTCTCTCTTTTGACCCTCTCTCTCCTTAGAAGTGTTTGCTTCTGATTACCCCCTCCACCAATCTGCCCTCCCCTGTATCATCCTCCTGCTCTCTTGTCCTCTTCCCCTCCTATTTTCTGTAGGGTAAGATAGATTTCCATACCTTATTGAGTGTGTATGTTATTCTCTCCTTAAGCCAAATCCAATGAGAATAAGATTCACTTGTTCCATCTCACCTTTCCCTCATTTGCCCTCCACTGTAAAAGCCTCTTTTTCTCTGTTTTATGTGAGATAATTTACCCCATTCTACCTCTCCCTTTCTCCTTCTCCCAGTCTCACCGCTTAATTTTATTCTCCAGATATCACCCCTTTATCTTCAACTCACCCTGTGTCTTCTATTTATTTATCTATCAATAAATCTATCTTTCTATATACATACATGTAATTTTTCCCCTTAAACTACTCTAATACTGACAAAGGACTCATGAATTACAAATATCATGTTTCCATGCAGAATGTAAACAGTTCAACCTTAATAAGTCTCTTATGATTTCTCTTTCCTGTTTACCTCTTCATGTTTCCCTTGAGTCTTGCATCTGAAAGTCAAATTTTCTGTTCAGCTCTGGTCTTTTCATCAAGAATGCTTGAAAGTCCTCTATTTCACTAAATATCCATTTTCCCCCGGAAGAATGATGCTCAGTTTTGCTGGGTAGGTGATTCTTGGTTGTAATCCTATCTCCTTTGCCCTCTGGAATATTATATTTCAAGCCCTGCAGTCCCTTAATGTAGAAGCTGCTAAATCTCATGTTATCCTAATTGTGTTTCCACAGTACTTGAATTGTTTCTTTCTGTCTTCTTGCAATATTTTCTCCTTGACCTGAGAACTCTGGAATTTGGCTACAATGTTCCTAGGAGTTTTCCTTTGGGGATCTCTTTCAGGAGGTGATTGGTGGATTCTTTCCATTTCTATTTTGCCCTCTGGTTCTAAAATATCAGGTCAGTTTTCCTTGATAATTTCTTGAAAGATGATGTCTACGCTCTTTTTTTTTTGATCATTGCTTTCAGATAGTCCAATAATTTTAAATTATCTCTTCTGGATCTATTTTCCAGGTCAGTTGTTTTTCAAATGAGATATTTCACATTATTTTCTATTTTTTCATCTTTTGGTTTTGTTTTATAATTTCTTGATTTCTCATGGAGTCGTTAGCTTCCATTTGCTCCATTCTAATTTTTTAGGGATTATTTTCTTCAGTGAGTTTTTGGACTTCCTTTTCCATTCAGTCAATTCTGCTTGTTAAGGCATTCTTCTCCTCATTGGCTTTTTGGACCTCTTTTGCCATAATAGAGTTAGTCTATTTTTTAAGGTATTATTTTCTTCAGTATTTTTTGGGTCTCCTTTAGCAAGCTGTTGACTTGTTTTTCACGATTTTCTTGCATCACTTTCAGTTTTTTCTCTACTTCTCTTGCTTGCTTCTCAAAATCCTTTTTGAGCTCTTCCATGGCCTGGGACTGATTATATTTTTCTTGGAGGCTATGGATGTAGGAACTTTGACTGTCTTGTCTTCTTCTAGTTGTATGTTTTGATCTTCTTTGTTACAAAAGAAAGATTCTATGGTCTGATTCTTTTTGTGCTGCTTGTTCATGATCTCAGCCAAGTACTTGAGTTATAAACTCTTTGTTAAGGTAGGAAGCTGCTTCCAGTGTGGAGAATGTACTGTCCCAAGCTTCAGGGGTTTTGTGCAACTGTTTTCAGAGATAATTCTAGGGACCTGTAAATTTTCAGTTCTTCTAAGGTGTCATTTTCTAGGGTGAGGTGTTTACTCCTCTCCTGGCCTGTGCTCTGGTCTATGAGTGACCACAAGCACTCTTTTCTGTCTTGGAATTGTGAGGAGGATTTCCTCTCCAGTACCACTACAAGCTCTACCACACCAGCACTCCTCCTTGCCCCAGGACCGCCACGCTGACCTGTGACCCAGATCCATGCACAGGCAAAGCAAGAGAATCCTACACCAGTATAGAGATCCCTGCAATCCGCCTCTGATCAACCACTCAATTCCTCTTCAATCTGTGGACTGGAAGCTCAGGAGGCAGTTGCCACCCCAAGGCCCACCTCGGGGACTGGGGCTGGGACCCCACTGTGCTTCTCTCTCACCACCATAGACACAGACTTTTCCTACTGATCTTCTAAGTTGTATTTAATGTTCATGGGTGGAGAAATCTGGAATCCACCATCCCGCAGTTCAGTCTTCTGAGGCCTGCTCCAGGTTTGCTGAGTCCTGCCTTGCCTGTGCTCCCATGCTGAACTGCTTTCCTCTCCCAGCCTGGTGCAATATACCTTTTTGTTCAACCATCCAGGTTGTCTTGGGCTGGAAATTAGTTTCACTCTGTCTTTTTGTGGGTTCTGCTGCTTTAGAATTTGTTTAGAGACATTTTTTACAGGTATTTGGAGGGGTTTGGGGGAGAGCTCAAGCAAGTCACTGCTTTTACTCTGCCATCTTGGCCAACACTATTATATCAAGAACAACTTTGAATGACAAAGTCATTTTGACTATTATAAATAACCACATTAACTCCAAAGGATATAGGAAAGGAGGCACTATCTGCATCCAGAGAAAGAACTGATAAATAGAAGTATGTATAGAATAATTTTGCATGTATAAATGTTCCTGTCTAATGGTAGTCATCTCTCTAGGATGGGAGAGGGGAGGGAGGGAAGAAAAAAAGGAAAACAAATTCCACGATTCTACAAATTTATTAAATATTTTAAAGGAATAACAAGTTGAACATAGTAGATTTACAGTTTCATGTGCAATCATCTTTTTTATCATTATACTATGTTATGGAAATGCATGTTTTATTCTATAAAGAAAAATAAAACAATGCTAGGATGGGCAGAGATGGGGTGGGTTAGATAGTAACAAATGAGATGAACTTAACAAATGAGATGAACTTCACAAATGAACTTTGAAATAACAGGCACAGCAGATGGCCTCAATCTTTTTTTAAGACAATTGAATTGGGGGGAAGCTAGGTGGCCAGTGGATAGAGCACCGGCCTTGAAGTCAGGAGGACCTGAGTTCAAATCCGGCCTCAGACCAAATACTTGACACTTACTAGCTGTGTGACCCTGGGCAAGTCACTTAACCCCAATTTCTAAAAAAAAAAAAAAAGATAATTGAATTGTATAGACGTAGAAAACCCAGACATGGATGCGATGTCTTGTGGCCAGGGGCCGGACATCACTGGGGCCTACAGATGACCCTGAAGTCACAGTCGGGAAAGTTGTTACCTGGGAGGAGGGGCCAAGGGATGACTTCACCTAGGCTTCAGCAGCTGGGTACATTATTGTGTGCTTCCTATTTTAATTAATTGTTCTTGCTATCCCAACTTTAAACTCAGTTGTTTCTACACTGCTGAAGGAGTATAAATATTCTGGTTGTCGTTGTGAGTCTAACCCAGCTCTTCATGACCCACAAACTTGTCCATGGGGTTTTCTTGGCAGAGATCCTGGGGTGGCTTGCCATTTCCTTCTCCAGTGTGTCCACATTTTACAGATGAGAAACTGAGGCAAATAGGAGTCAAAAGACTTGCCACAGCTAGCAAGCATCTGAGGCCAGATTTGAACTCAGATCTTTCTGACTCCAGGCCTGGTGTTCTATCCACTTCACCACCTAGCTGCCAAAGAAGTCTTGAGAACTACTCTTAGTTCTTTGGCAGTTCAGATGGTCCAAATGGGTACATTTTAGCCCCTTAATTATATAATTACCATCTAAAGCTTAACCAACAACTCTGTTCTCTGTACTCATTCAGTGTTCTAAGTGCACTCAAAATTCTGGTGTCCTGGGAAAAGCCTTTTTTGTTACATACTAAGAACATTTCTGATTGATTTTTTCCCAACTCCAGGCTCTTCTGTTTTGTCTCCCCAGATGTCTGCATTTATAGCTAAGCTGGTGTCTGCTGTTCAGAATGCTCACAAGACCTCCTCAGGACCTGGAAGAGGACAAGAAGTGATGGTGTCAACAGAACCGATTCTCATGGAGACGTACACTGGATTGATGTCATTCATTGGAAATCGCAACAAACTGGGCTACTCCCTGGCCCGTGGAAGCATAGGATTTTAAAATTATACTCCTTGTATAGTTAGGTCTCTTCTGTCAAAAGCTATGCAGTCATTTAGGGTTACTGTGCTATTTCCTCTGCAGTTCTGTAAGCCACCTTTCCTACAGTCTCTCCTTCCCATCCCCCATTCCTCACAAGCTTTCTGACAGACACATTTTCTGGGCCATGTAAAGAAGTAGCATAGTTGTGTAAGTTGAGATAGTGTTCTAGACCTTTATACAAAGGTTGAGATAACATAGAATTAAAGCATGAATACTTTATCAAATTAGTGACTGAATATGAAGTGAGTTCTGTGTACAAATTCATTCTCCTCTCATTCTTAAGTGTTTGTGGATATGTGCCCATTCTGGGGATCCCATTCAGCCCTTAAGCCTTCAGTTATGACCTCTGGATAGTGGACTCCCAATTGGATGACCTCCAGTCCTTACCTGTCTTCCATGCCCCATGTCCAATTGTCTTGCCAGATACCCTCACCTGGATGTTCAGGTCACCTAAAACTCAACATGTCCTTCAAAGAAACCATGCGGCTTCCATAGAGCAATTGTTTAGTGTCAAGGCCCTAGGGTTGGAATCAAGACATTTGAGTTCTAGAATTGATTCTAATTAAAACTTAATGTGTGATTTTAGGCAAGTTCCTTCTTATTTCTGTACCTCAATGTCCTCATATATAAAATGACAGTTTGAGATTTAATAGATTCTAAGGTCACCCTAATCTACAGTTATGCTTCTCATATATATTCTCATAATTTCCCATCTAAACAGTTTTAGTGGCCATCTTACTGACTGCCCAGTCTGACACTCACCACCCCCATCTAAGGCAATCATTATATGCCCCCTTGAGTAATCTTCCTAAGATATTCCCTTTGCAGATGATGATGATGATGAATGATGATGATGGTGATGGTGATGGTGGTGGTGATGGAGATGATGGGGACAGTGATGATAATTAGGGATCATATAGTGTCTTCAGATTAATGAGGTATTTTATATAGCATATCTCATTTGTTCCTCATAACAGCCTTATGAGGTAGGTGCTATTATTATCCCTATTTTATAAATGAAGAAATGGAGCCAGAGAGAGGATAAGTCATTTGCCCAGGATCACACAGCTAGCAAGTGTCTCAGGTAGAATTTGAAACTTCTTTCTCAGAAAATCTTTAGGATTTCAAGATGTAATAGGATCCCTACTAGTATCTCTAGTCTCACACACCGTTCTTCCCCATTCACAAGCGCTCCCCTTCTGCCTAGCTGGTTTTGCTCATGGTGTCACCAACACAGGCTGAAGCAATGCACATTCCTATAACTTTGCCTTTGCTTGTGTTTGTTTTCCTACCTGGAATAATTCCCTCTGTCTTTTTCCACTCATCTGAGTCCAGTCTTTCATTCAAAGTTCAGCTCAGCACAGTGGGACCTCCTCCGGGCCCCTACCCAGCAGCCTCATACTTGGTCACAACAGCTTCTTTCCAACTCTTGCTGCATTTCTTCCCTATGTAAGTCACTTCATTCTTGCCACAGCCATTTGTATTGACATTTTGTCTTTTCATGTCTGTATCCTTTTCTCTCAAGCAGAACGTAAATAAGCACTTAAGAGCAGGGGCCGTGGCTAGAAGCTCCTTTTATTTCCAGCAACTTACTGTCTTGTTTACACTAGGCATCTCAAATTGTATTGCATAGTTCAAAGCATTAAAAAGTAAATCAGGAGCCCCTGGGTTTTTGTCTGCTTTTTAATAGTCATATGATTTGGGACAAGTCTATCATACTTTCTGTGCCTCAGTTTTCCTATCTGTAAAAAAAGGGGGACAGTGATACCTATTTTACCTATCTCATCATGTTGTTGTAAAGACCCCATGAAACCCATGGATAATGTCCTTTGCAAAGCACTATGTTAATGGCAGCTCCTGGAATATGGGAAATGTGTGAGAACAGTCATGATTGCTGAGGTTGGTGATGCAAGGATAATGGATGACTGATGATGTGGCTGACAGTGATAATGGTGGTGCTGGTGACTGCTGGTGGGTGCAGCAACAACCTAAAGAGTGCCACAAATCCAGGGTCACAGAGTGTTTCTTTCCTGTATCTTGGTTAGGTTGGTAAAATGTTAGTGGGTCCCTCCTGAAAGCTAAGGCAAGCATTGCGAGGCTATAACATAAAAACAAAACACAATACATAGGATAATTTATACTGACACATAGGTTTTTATTTATCCCTGTGAGTGTCTGCCTTCCACGAGACAGAAATAGGTCACTCGGTGCCAAGTTGTTAAAAGGTTGCTGGCAGTTGGGCATTATCTGCAGAAAGCTGCTATTCACATACTCAACTCTTGTCTCAGATAGGAAATAAAGACATAAAAGCTGTGAGCCCCCAATCACGTGGATTCATTTAGCCAATCAGCATAGTGGAAAGGAGGGTCTTGAATTAATGAAATGTGAGACATGTCCATTTGAATTAGGGAAGAAGAAAGAGTGAATAAGTCAAGCCCTGGGAGATCAGGGCTAAGTGGTAAACTCTATTGGGGGTCATGGACAACCATGGGAAATATAAAGACACTTTGTCCAAGGTGAAAGAAAAGGAGAGGTAATGGTAAATTAGAAGATTATCCAAAGCCTAAACAACTATTGGGTAGTTTTGATAAAGACTGGCCTGCCACTGAAATGCCCTTCATGTATTCTTCTCCCCAAACCCACCACATGAATGATTCCCTACTATATCCTACTTTAGTGGTTAAATTATTTTTTTAAATAAAGAATTAGAAAATAACCAGAGCATGTGTATCTGCCTATACTATGCATGACATGTATGGAATTGATGACAGTATCCTTAAACATTGTCTTCAAGGAGGATTATTTGCTTAAAAATTGAACAAAGCTGCTAGCTTCTCTCTCTCCCAGTAGGGGAGCCGAGAAAAAAAGATGAATAATTGTGATAACTGCTTTGTTGGAGTAATGTTTGAGAGTCTTTTTACTCAAAAGAAAAAAAATGTGTTTTATTTTTGGGTTTGAATGATATTCCCCACCTGGACACCAGTTAATGAGGACTAAAAATCAAGTTCTACATAGATGCATGCAAGTCAATTTTGCTGTTTTTTATTCTATAATCATTAAAATTATTTATTCATGGAACGCTTGTTGATCTCTGAAATTCTTAGAAACTCAAAAGCAACATTTTTTAAAAGTTACTTCTTAGATGCCCATTCTCACACAGCAATGACATGTTATTACTAGTTTCCCAACCATGTATGCCATCTTTCTTCTCTTATTTATCCATATACTACATTTCTTATCCATGAAATTCAAAATTTCCATCAAATAATAAAAAAAGCATGTATTAATCACCCATTAAGTCCCAGATACTGTATTAGGGACTAGGGTATAAAGAAAAAAAAAGAGCCCCTGCCTTCAAAGAGCTTACGTTCTTTAAGGAAACACAATATGTACATATAGAGCTTCTTTCCAGCTCTAGAAGTATGATGGTATGTCTTTGGGGATGAGAGGTGGTTATGTTCATTCAAAGGATTACCAGAGGTTTGAGTCACATGAGTTGTGCACCTGTATGGCATATGAGCTCCAGCCTAGGGCCTTCCCTGCCTGTGGCTGATGCAGAGGGGAAGTATAAGTCATGGGATTTGAGAAACTGAGCAACTGGGAGGTTGGAATGTTTGATTAAGTATGAGCATGAATGCTGAAATCCCCTAAAAAGCAAGGTCAAGGGTTAAGTGACAGTGAGCCAGGGACTAAATTCCTTGAGAATGGAGAAAGACGGCTGAAAAGAATGGAGAATTGTAGCGAACAGATTTCATTATCTGTGTAGTGTGAACGATTTTAATTGAGTTAACTTCATAGGGACAGGGTTGCTGTCTGAAGGAAGTAGAAAGTTTTGGCAATAGGGAGCAAGGAACATTTTTTTTAATCTTTTTTGAGTGAGGTAATTGGGGGTAAGTGACTTGACCAAAGTCACACAACTAGTGAGTGTTATATGTCTGAGGCCAGATATGAACTCAGGTACTCCTGACTCCAGGGCCAGTGCTCTATCCACTGCATCACCAAGGACTCACCCTTCAGGGCCAATCTGAAGGGGCACATGAGAGAGGGACAATTAATCAGTGCTAGAAAGGGTGGCCAGGGATACAGTATGGGCAAAACCAGGTCTCTGGAAGTTCAAGTAGTTGAAAAGTATGTGAAAGGAAGAAGTTCCAAATGAAAAGAAGTTCATTCAATTTGGGACAAGAGTTCCAGAAGCCCCAGTAGAAGGTCTGTGTTTGAGGAAAATCCCATTGGTAACTGGGTGAAGGGTGGATTGGATTAAAGCAGGGGTGGGGAACCTGTAGCCTTAAGGCCACATGTGGCCTTCCCAAGCCCTTAAGAACCTCCTTTGGACTGAATCCAAATAAATTTAAGGCCACATGAGGCCTTAAGGCCACAGGTTCCCCACCTCTGGATCAGAGAGAGACTCAGAAAGTAGGCCAATTAGAAGGCTGTTACAATAGTCCAGATGAGATGTGATAAGGTCACGAATCAGAGGTGTGGCTGTGTGAGAGCAGAGAAGTGGCTACGTGAAGGGTTGGTGCTGAGATACAAAGACCAAAATAGGGCAACTGATTGGCTATGTGGGGTGAGTGAGAATGAGAACTGAGGTTAGCACTGAGCTTGAGAATTTGGGTAAGTGGAAGAATCGTAGAACCCTCAACAAAAAGAAAGGAAAATTATTGTTTGTTTTTTAAGAGGAGGCAATGAATTTTTTTGGGGTGTACCAGGCTTGTACACTCAGAAAAAAGCAACCAGGAGGGTTAAAGGGCCTTAAGTCAATATCATACAAAGATCTGTTCAAAGAACTGGGGATCTACAGCCTTGAAAAGGAGGGGAAAAAAGCAACCTTAAGGAATACATTATAGTTGCCTTCAAATATTAGAACGTCTGGCATGTTGAAAAATTAAAGTTGTTCTTTTTGATCCTGAAGGGCAATGCCTAGGATCTGCAAATGGACATATCTGTCTCTTAGATTCAACAAAATCTTCCTGTACAAAAATGAACTGGGTTGCATCAAGATACAGTACATTGTTTATCATGGCTGGTCTTCAAATATGGGGTGGATGGCCACTTGTAGGGCATATGGCAGTAAATTTTTTTAGGCAGGAAGGGTAGTATAATTAGGCTAAACAGATGACAAGGTAGTTTCCACATTTAAAAGTCTACAATTCTTCGTTTCTTTTTCATCAGGCTCATACGGCTTGAGACGGAGATTCCTTAGACCATCACTAGTGACATTGCGTGGAAGATGTTTAGGGTAAATGCTCTCAGGAAATTTTTCTGCCTGACACTCAGCTGATGGCAGTCATCTATTGGCCCTAGGGCAGCCATAAGGACCCTTGTCCAATTCTCCCAAGGCATCCTAGTGTACTGTCCGGCAGCTGAACGGTCAACTGAAACTGATGAGAGTATCATAATACATCTCCACCATTCTCCCTATCTAGGGCTTGGTTCACTAGCATGTTTTTTAGGAAACATCTCTAGAATGGCCTTACTGTTTGGATGCTGACCACATGCCGATTCCTGGTACCCTGTGACCCAGTGCTCCTCACTGTGGGTTGGGTGGTTGGGACATAGCATGGAAACTTCTGGAAGACATACTTATTGCCCCCAGCAGGTTCCTGGTGCCTGCTAATCTGCAGGATTAATGCCATCACACTTGGTTTCCAGTGAAGTGGAAATACATCCTTTGGAGACTTAGCCAATCTTTGAGGATAAAAATTGTTTTCTAGATTGAGTTTTGTTTGTTTTTGCAATGGCCGTTAATATGGGACACAAACCACAAATAGTTACATCATTTTCTTGCCTGTCTCTCCACTTGAGTTTGGGAACACTTGGTTGATTTTCAGAAAGAAAAAAAAAAGAACAGACTTTGGCTCACTTCCTTTCAGCTCCTCTAAGGGAATTTAAAAGTTTGTTCTGAAAAGATTTGTTTACTTATTTTGTTTTTTCTTCAGATTAATCCCTCAGCTGTGCCATGTACAAAACATCACATTTGAACAGTAATACAAATCCCCATTCTGGAA